AAATAATATGGAGTGAAATGAAATGAAGTTGATTAATTTGAAACATTAATCAATTGGCGTGAAATTAAATGAAATGAAATAAGATGAGATATGGGATGAAATATAATTTCAGTAAAATGGTGGTTAAATAGTGAGACTTTTTCAGTGGACTTTTTGAAAGATCCCGCGAAGCTACGTTCAGCGGCTTTGTTATTTTTTCCACATATGTGCACTTTCACAAATACTAAACAGTTAATAAATCACCTTTGTTACACGTTTGGTCACCGTTCTCGTCGATTAGGACGAAAAGTCCAATGAGTCAACCATAGACCGTGACGTGGCGACCAATACAGGCAAATTTGAAATAAATATTTTTTATTCATAATTTTAACTAATCATATCCACGAACTTATTTTTACGGCAACCCACGCTCACGAACATAATTTATTTGGTAAAAAATAATTTTTACCTGGTTATCAAATTGGTTAAGGTCGTTCTTTCCTGGGGTCTCTACTCTATCTTATTTCGATGTTAATAAAGTGGTTATATAGTAAAACATGTTTTTAATTAAATATAGATAGTAATTGAAGGATATTTTATACACCTATCGATTTTGTGTAAATGTACAAGAAATTAAATTTGTACTTGTAGAAGATATTAATTCAACCTACATCGTATATTTCCCTAGGTAAACACTATGAATTATAGCTTGTTTTGTTGGTACTTTATTTATGTACGCATAAGTAATCTTCAAAAGACAAACTCGAACAAAAATTTTTTTTTTCCTTATTCTTTACAAAACACAGGAAATAAAATTATAGTAATCGGCACGAGTCTTGAGCTCTCGACAAAAGAGTGGAGAGCCGTCTGCGCTTTGTACACATAGCGTCAAAATAAATGGCCCACTCATGTATTATGTAAAATATTTTTTTATAATTAAATTAACTTCGTTCAGTTTTGGATTTAAAATGTATTAGATTATAATTTGCGTAATTACTGGTGGTAGGACCTCTTGTGAGTCCGCGCGGGTAGGTACCACCACCCTGCCTATTTCTGCCGTGAAGCAGTAATGCGTTTCGGTTTGAAGGGTGGGGCAGCCGTTGTAACTATAATTGAGACCTTAGAACTTATATCTCAAGGTGGGTGGCGCATTTACGTTGTAGATGTCTATGGGCTCCAGTAACCACTTAACACCAGGTGGGCTGTGAGCTCGTCCACTCAATTAAGCAATAAAAAAATAAAAAAAATTATAATTTTGCCCGTGGTTTCTATAGTCAAAAATAACCTTATTTTTAACCGACTTCCAAAAGGTTATCAGTACATTCTGTTTTGTATATTATACCTAGTCAGGTCATAAGTATTGTCACACAGTAAAAACTTTTCTTTTAGAATGCTGGCCACAAAAAAGTTTATTGAATTCGAATTTCGAATTGTTCATGAAAATAAAAATGTATACTTTTAGAATTTTACTCATTTTTAAATATGGAGTGGACGCTTAAAGAAGACCGTGTTGCAGTTATTGCGTTGCATCGTTGCGGTTACGCGCCAATTCAAATTTTTAACATACTGAAAAATTTGAATATAACCAAAAGATTCGTTTTATCGTACCATCAAACGATACAATGAAGACTCTAGTGTAGATGACAGGTCAAGAAGTGGTCGCCCTCGGTCTGTTAGGACTCCAGCAGTGATAAAAGCTGTGAAGGCGCGAATTCAAAGAAATCCCAAACGTAAGCAGAAACTGTTGGCCCTTCAGATGGGGTTAAGCAGAACCACGGTGAAAAGGGTGTTAAATGAAGACTTAGGGCTTCGGGCATATCGAAGAAAAACAGGACATCGTTTG